TGGATTTTTTCGCTGCAAATCTGGAATTTCGGTGCAAATCTGGAATAAAAAAAATCGCTGCAAATCTGAAAAAAAAATCGCTGCAAATCTGGAATTTTTTTTCTTATTCAAGTTGATAGAAGAAGAATGAAGAAGAAACAGAAAAAAATGTAGAAGAAAGAAGAAGAGACGGAAGAAGAAAGAAAAGAAGATGGAAGAAGGAAGAAGGAAGAAAAAATTAAAGAAAGAAGAATGACGGAAGAAGAAAGAAAAAGAGAAAAAGAAGAAAAAGAAAGAAACAAAAAAATCAAGAAAAAAAATCGAAGATGAAAGAAGAAAGGAAGGGAAGGAATAAGGGCATAAGGGACATTTCAATTACAAAAACTTTCCTAAAATAGAAATGGGAAGTTTTTTTATGGACGGACGAAAAAGGAAAGTGGGAAGTTCTTTTATGGACGGAGGGAGTAAAATTTAGCCCTTTGATTAGAACTTATATTTGGCTATTCTGCTGTGAGGGGGGTAGATTGAGAAAGAAAGAGTTTTAACTGTTAGTGGTTAAATAAAGAAAAACACAAGCAGTTAGGGTTTGAGAGGTTAGAATATTACTTGGCTTAATTTTTGAACCACAGAGGCTTAGTTACCTTCATTCTTCACTTACTCTGAACTTGCTCTTACTTGACTAAGCATGAAAAGACTTTGTGCAACAACTCATGACTGCTAAAACAAGTCAATTTTAAGGATCAACTTATCAAAAAGCAGAGTTAGTGGTGTAGCTTTTAATATGGCACATTGGAATAGATTTGCTGGTTAGGAATTTATTGACATTAGGAGTAGTTTAATGTGAAAGAGCTTTTACTTTGGATTACTCTTAAGTAGCTTTTGACCCTTTAGAATATGCATTTGAGAAGAACTCAAAGGTAAGATCCCGGATTTTTATTCAAGTTAAAAGTAATAAGCAAAGTTGTTTTACTATAGAATACTACCCCCACCCCACCCCAAAGGTTGTATGCTTGTTTTTTGAAGTGTGGATTCTAAAGTGTTCTGTATCAAGGAAGAAAACTACTGTAGAGTTTAATTTGCATACCCTCTAATAATGGTCTAATACTCTAACCTTATTAAATTGTAAATTAGTTTACTTAACCTCTAAGGCAGTACTATTAGTAAATAGTAAGTAAAATACGGAGTACTACTTTTGTCACATCACACACATCCCTCCACCCCACCCCCAAAAATTTACTTGTCTTTATTTTTCCATGCTTGGTAATAGTGTGTATTGAATATTTTCTAAGCGCTGACAGTAAGATGGTGTGATTTTGTGTCTAGTATGTCTCCATACGAAAATTTAAGTTTCAATTGCTTTTTGCACACGTGATATTAGGTTGGTTTTCCAATATGACTTTTGAATTAGGTTCTTATATTAAAAGCTGTGCAAATAGCTCAAAATTTCAAATTACAAAGGGGTACAACAAAATCAGTATAATTCTAACTCCGATTGGGTTCTGAGGGTCAAGATGTGCATAACATTATCCCTTAAATAGAGAGCTTGTATACAATAGACTTATAGACCCTGCACTGTTGCAATTACTACCACAAAACTTTATAGGAAGTAAGAATTAAGAATCAAAGGGAGTTTGATGTTCCATTTTGAAACAGTTCATTATTTACCCGGAGCTAATGCATTTTCATAATTGCTCTTAGCTCCACTGGCAATGGACCTTCAACATATAAAGGAGTAAAATTGAAAATTCCAAAAATGTATAAAGCTACTGGAGCTCAGAGAGTGGAAATAGTCACGGACAAACCCAATAGGAAACTTTGACTTCTAAAATAGCCCAATGAAGTAATTAGTTAGTCTTATTTTAATTAATTACTCCATAATATCTTAAAGTTTCTTTAACCTGGTCCATGTTACATTTTAACTATATGTTTTGTATGGTGTAAAAGATAGGTAACCTTTTACTGATATCTTTTCTACAGAGTTTCACCTCTAAGCTTTGAGCTAGAGGCTACACTGAAATTAGCAAGATATTTATGCAGGTATTTCCTTCCCAACTTAAAATAGTTATGATGCACATAATTTGCTTTGTTGTTTCTTCTTGCATCTCCTCTCCGAATCATGTTTCATTATAAAGAGTTTATTTTGACATCATAGGAAAAAGAATTTATCTCTTCAAGAACTTAGAATTATTATCAACAAATTTTTATAAGGAGGGTGGAGGTGGTGGTCATGTTTAAAATTGATGAATTAGGTTGTAGTGTGGCACTGTTGGAGACTTGGAGGGTATTGTGTATTCTGCAAGCTTAGAATTAATATTATAATCGGTCACATTTCAAATACCAGTAGATGAATTAGTAGTGTCATATTGTTGGAGACTTGGAGAGTATTCGGACAAAGGTATCATCGTCATCGCCACCATCAAAACTGATTCACCTCAGCTATGATGGGTACAGTGGAATCTGGCTTGAATTTTAGTACTTCGAGCCCCTAACTTGATGGATGTTCGTATTTTTTTGGAAAATATATTTCAATTATTATTTTTAATAAAACCATCTTTCCATTCTTTAATACTCCCACCGTTTCAATAAACCCTCCCCCTTTTGACTTTTAGCCAAAATAAGGAAAGTATATTTATGGTTGGCTTTCCAATTTTGCCCCTGATGTGATGGGTAAAGTAAGATGTGATAGTTAGATTATTAGTGAAAAAGTATGATGTGATAGGTAGGGTATGAAAAAGTAAGGGTGAAAGTGGTTTTTTAATAGAAATTGAAAGTGTTTTGGGGAAATGGAAAAAAATGAAAGATGAAGGGTTTATTGAAACAGAGGGAGTAGTACATTGAGTTTTCTGTGTGCACATTGCATCCGCAGGTGGGACCTTGCTAAGGAAGTGGTTGAGTTGTTGACAGTGGCTGCAGATGGAGCAAAATCTTTGATTGATGCTAGTGACAGATTGATTTTATACATTGAGATAGCTCGACTATTTGGTAAACTTGGTTATCAAAGAAAGGCTGCCTTCTTCTCTAGGCAGGTTGCTCAGCTTTACTTGCAACAAGAGAATAGATTGGCTGCTACTAGTGCCACACAAGTATTAGCAATGACCACGAAAGCGTATCGTGTTCAAAGCAGAGCTTCTAGTCAACATCAACATGCAATTTGCCAGGTGATTCAAACAGGACTGTCTCCTAAGTATCACCGATAAAATGAATAAAATACTTGTCTTTTCAAAAAAAAGTGACAGAAGTTTGCTTTTATTTTATGCTATTGTGATAGAGTGCAGTTTAGCTGTCTTGTTGGCTTGTTTTATGTTCTCCAATCTCTTTCTATTTGTCTTAGTTTTGGCTCTCGGGGTTTTCGTGTATATATATAATATATGATAATTTTAGCTTTGGGTAACTCAATGCCAATGCGTGCTTCACTTGTAAAATATATGAGACTTTGGGATGGGTGAGAACAAAGATAATGTATACGAGTATAATGAATAATGACTGATATTAGTGACTGAATGAAGTTACTTTGATTTTGTATCAACCATCGCATCTTAAATTGCACCCAAATCAACAGTAGGATATTCTGTAAAAACATGCATTTTAACTCTCAATTTTTCTTGAAGGCTTCTGGACCTAGTCATGTTGATGGAGGGAAAATGCATCACAACTGGATAGTCTCACTCTTTGAGTCTCAATGGAGTACACTTCAAATGGTTGTGCTGAGGGAAATACTTTTATCTTCTGTCCGTGCGGGAGATCCTCTTGCTGCCTGGAGTGCAGCTGCACGCCTTCTCAGATCTTATTATCCATTAATTACCCCAGCCGGGCAAAATGGCTTGGCAAGTGCCCTTTCAAATTCATCTGAGAGGCTTCCTTCTGGAACTCGTTGTGCTGATCCTGCCCTGCCTTTCATAAGGTGTTTTCCAAAACCGAAAAGGGTTTTTATTGACTTTGGATTCCATGAAATCATGACATTGTGTGTGCCTAATGTATTTCCTAATTATTGTTTAATATAAATAAATGCTTCCAGGTTGCATTCATTTCCACTTAATTCCTCACAACAGGACATAGTAAAGCGCAATCCTTCTAAAGAAGCTTGGTGGGCTGGATCTGCTCCATCGGGACCTTTTATTTACACTCCATTCAGCAAAGGGGAGTCAACTCAAAATAAACAGGAGTTGATTTGGGTTGCCGGGGAACCTGTGCAAGTCCTGGTGGAGTTAGCAAATCCTTGCGGTTTTGACTTGATAGTTGACAGTATATATTTATCAGCACATTCTGAAAATTTTGATGCTTTCCCTGTTAGTGTTAATCTTCCTCCTAATTCAGCTAAGGTTATTACATTATCTGGAATTCCTACTAAAGTGGGACCTGTGACAATTCCCGGATGCATTGTTCATTGTTTTGGTGTTATCACTGAACATTTCTTTAAGGAAGTTGATAATCTGCTCCTTGGAGCTGCACAAGGACTTGTATTGTCTGATCCTTTCCGTTGCTGTGGTTCACCTAAGTTAAAGAATATATCAGTTCCAAACATTTCTGTGGTTACCCCACTGCCATTGCTGGTGTCACGTGTTGCTGGAACTGATGGTGCTATTATCCTATATGAAGGCGAGATTCGTGAAGTGCAGATTACTTTGGCAAATGCAGGCACAGTTCCAGTTGAGCAGGCCCACATTTCATTAGCAGGAAAGAACCAAGATTCAGTTATATCAATTGCGTATGAAACCATGAAGTCTAGCCTTCCCCTTAAGCCTGGTGCAGAGGTGACAATATCTGTCACTTTAAAAGCTTGGCAGCTTGGTATTACAGATCCTGATGCTGCTCCCAACAAGAGTATTTCTCCAAACACTTGGAGACATGTCAAGGATGGAGGCAGCCCCATGCTGCTGATCCACTATGCAGGTAAGTGTATATTGCCATGTGATTCAGCTGGTTTATTTATTATCAGTTTGTGAAGAATCGAATTATATTATAAATCCGTATTAGTGCTTCTTCTCTTTTCTTCTTGCACAATGCACACCAACCATCTCTTTGAAGCATATTTATTGTTTGTTTTGTTTTCCATGTTTATTGAGGGCCACTAAAATCACAAAGTTTATGAAGCTCTGGTCATGTTTGCACGTCATGTTTACACCGAATCTAATGATTTTTTATCAGACATAATGAAACTAAGAAATTCTACCCTGTATACGTATACTTGTGTGAGGCTATTATTAGAAACATTCTATATTTGAAGATACATGGTAAGTCTTCCACTTCAAACTCCTTATTTTCATATACAAGTAGCGTACTTTAGAAACAATTTAGTTGTAAGTTGTGAGTTTTATTTTTGATTGGACCCTCTCCATGATGAGGATCCATAGGAAGAACTGGTGTTTTTGAATGATATAGTTACTCTAAACTATCTTAGACTACCATATCTTAGGCCCCTGACCAACCAGCCAGCTTTAAACTTAAAAATTTTTATACTGATCCGTCCTAGGCATAGCCATCTGATTCTGACCTGTATAAGTTTCTTCCAATACCAGAAAGAATGTGGTTTTGGCCTTTCGGATATATCTCCAAATGTCAGTCTGCATGAGATACCAGCTGTATACCCCTTGTCCCACCAACATTCCTTACCAATGTCCCATATATTATTATATTAGCCTCCATACTGCAGCTTTATTCAAGTACAGAATATTCTTAATATGCTAGCCCCCTCTGTTCCTAGGCTTACGCGCCCCCTCCAATTTGACAATTAGCCTAATAGCCTCTTATTATAATTAGAAGACCCGCCCCACAGGAAATTCCTGCATATAGCTTGAATACTGTTCAGAACCATGCTAGGTAAGACAAACATCCTAATCTAGAAAGATACATTCCCAAGCATAACCGAGTTGATGAGTTTAACCCTACCAGCTAAAACAAGCCTTTAGTTTTCCACGAAGAGATTTTACCAGTAAGTTTTTCAATCACCAAGCGACTCTTTATTGCCAATCCTAGAAGTTGTAATGGGAGCTCCCANCCCCCCCCCCCCCCCCCAATAATAATAATAATAATAAATTTCAGATTTAGCATAATTAATCGCCAAGCCAACACATTCTTACAATGCTGCAAAGCCTCCATGACACACTGAACAGACCCTCTCATGAGCTCTACACAACATTTGAGTCATCTGCAAAAATGAGTTTTGTATTACCCAGCCCTTTACATAAGGGGTGAAACTGGAATCTTCTATCTTGGAAGTAGACTCACATTGTACATGAAAAATATTCGATCACCATAACAAAGAGAAGAGGAGAGGTAGTGCTATCCTCATAGTTATTAATGACGTTTTCCATTTACGCTTATGGCGCCTACGGCGCTGAGGCGTATGGATGATGCCCTGAATAGCCTGGGTGAGGTGTTTTACGAGTGGCGCACCATGGCAGTTGCCATTCACGCAGCATGTGCCATCTTCACTCTGCATTTTGTCAACATTTAAAAAAAAAACTGGGCCAACCCTTACCTAATTAAGCACTTTTAAACGCATCACCTCTCTTCTCCGCTTCACTTCGCTTTGTAACCCTATGCCACCCATCGTCCTTGCCATGTCGAGCGCAGCCCTCTTCTACACAATAGCCCTCTTTACGCACTCCCCCCTCTTTAAGCACTCACCCTCTTGAAGTCTCCCATGATGCACCAAGGATTTTCCATTGTAATAGAGCTTTACTTTTGCCTTGTTCATCATGGCCATATAGGCATATACAAAAGTGATATACATAGGGTAGAGCTCACCTATCTTCCTCACTTAGCAGTGCACCTTCTGCTCTGAACCAGACACAACCACTACATCATGTATTCTAGGGGTTCCACACTACCCAGATACGCCCTAAGTAATGTGCTTCATGATTTATTAAGGAACCCCATGTCCCAAACTGCTAAACATAGCTTCTTCAATAGTTTTAAACTTTTCTTCTCTAATTTTGGTTTCTAACAACCCACCCATGGTTTTTGGACATTCAAATGTTGACAGGGAACTCAATTGCTTACATTTTTAAAGCTAGTTCATTATATCTTTTTATATAAATAGACTTTCTTAATAGTGTATTCAATAATTAGTATTTCTTGCCAGGCCCATTGACTACACCTGGGAAGTCACCAGTTGATGAGTCTATTCCTCCTGGAAGGCGGTTGAGTATTCCCTTGAATATCTGTGTTTCACCATGCTTGTCTTTCGTGAAGGCTCGTTTGCTTTCAATGGAGATTCCTGCTTATGTTGGTGAAGATCATTCAAAGCTTAAAAAAGAAAATGGTTCTATTGAAGAAGCCACCTGTACTGAAAGACAGGCCGATAAGTTCATGAAAATTGACCCTTACAGAGGAAGTTGGGGGTTGCGTTTTCTCGAGCTGGAGTTGTCTAATCCAACAGATGTTGTCTTTGAGATTGGAGTGTCTTTTCAGCTTGAGAGCTCTTCCAATGAGGGTAGTCCCGAATACAAGTATCCTAGAACTAGGATTGATAGGGATTGCACAACGAGAGTGCTAATACCTCTGGAACACTTCAAATTACCTGTTCTTGATGGTTCCTTCCTGATTAGGGACTCCATGGTGAATGGGACAACCAACAAAAATTCAAGCTTCTCTGAGAAAAACAGCAAAGCTGAACTTAATGCTTGCATCAAGAATTTAATTTCTCGGATTAAAGTCAGGTGGCAATCTGGACGGAATAGTTCCGGGGAACTAAATATTGAGGATGCAATAAAGACTGCTTTGCAATCATCGGTGATGGATGTACTGCTACCTGATCCACTAACCTTTGGATTTGCCCTCACTGAAACTGGTTTGTCAGAGGAATCAGGCATGAAAGATCATTGTCCTCCATCTAAAGGGCCTATTATTGCACATAACATGACTCCATTTGAAGTGCTTGTACGCAATAATACAAAAGAAACTATTAGACTAAGTCTTAACATCACATGTCGAGACGTAGCTGGAGAGAACTGTGTGGAGGGTGATAAAGCAACTGTGCTATGGACAGGTGCTATTCTAAAACATTCTTATTTTATTATTGTCTGTGGTTTGAATATATGACTAATTCGTACAATTGATAGAAGATGACCTTTCTGCTACCTTTGAAGTTTCTACCCAAACTGGCTTCAAAATGTTTCTAAACTAAGGGGCTGTTTGTTTCAGCCTCTTAATGGTTCAGATGTCTGAATGGTTCAGCACTTAATGGTTCAGACTGTTTGTTTCAGCCTCTTAATGGTCCAGATGTCTGAATGGTTAAGAGATTTGCCTCTGAATGGTTAAGTATTATACAGAGTCTGAATGATTAAGACCTCTTATCTGAATTGATCAGACATTTACCTCTGAATAGTTGAGCAATATACTAGCTCTTAATGGTTCAGACCTCTTACTGGTTCAGCACTTAATGGTTCAGATCTCTTACTGGTTCAGCACTTATCTATTCAGAAGTTACCAAACAGCCCCTAACCCAACTAAGAAGTGTAAGAACGTGTGCACAAGCCAAAGAACTGGAAGATGAAGATATTTTGTCCTCTTTTTTTTTTTTTTTGCACTAAGAGTGTTTGCAAACCAGCTCTAATATAATACATATATTCTCCCTCTGGCTCTGCCGCCCTTTTATCTCCCCTTTTTCCTTTTTTTGTCGTCTTGATTAATCTTCTGCTTTCCTTTTAAGGAGAGAATTATGTGTTCCATATTGATTCTTCCATTTCTAAATAAATCTCAATCACATAATTTCATTTTCTTTACACTATGTTTGGTGCAAGGAATTTGGATGGAAAATAAAAGAAAATGGTTCTCTCATTTTCCGCACCAAAATGGGAGGAATTTGGTTTTCCTTCTTAATATATTTTGCTTTCTCATTTTGTTTTCCTTCCACTTTTCTTTTCCTCTCTAACCAAACAAGAAACTGTTTTTTAATCCCATTTTCTTTTCTTTCCCTTTGAAATTCCTTGAACCAATTAACCAAACATAGTGTAAAACTCCGTGTAAAAAAGCAAATGGAAACATTTAAAAAAGGGGCGGAGGGAGTAGTATAATATGTATGGTGTCAAAAATTAACAAGACTAGGAAGCCCAGCCCAGGCCAAGTTACATCTGCCCCAGATTGTATCTGTTATGGTGAAAAAGCCAACTTTGACTGGTTTTCAATTCATTCATTCTCAACGCGGATTCTTCCTTGGTTTCTTGTAGGTGTTTTGAATGGCATTGGCATGGAGGTACCCCCTCTTCAGGAAATCAAGCATTCGTTCTCCTTATATTTCCTGGTTCCAGGTGAGTACACACTGTTACCTGCTGCTACAATTGATGACGCTAATGAAATTCTAAGAGCTCGAGCTCGAGCGAACTCAAAGGATGAGCCCATCTTTTGTCGCGGGCCCCCTTTCCACGTTCGAGTGAGCGGCACTCTGTGACAGCTCTCAGTGTCGTTCCTTGAATCCATGTACCATTATGTTATGGAGTTGACTCTTGATATACCTCCCCAATTGGACATGATTTTGATGATTTGTACTGCATTAATGGAAACCTTATGTAGCTTTTGTGCATACTAACAACCCATATTGCTGTTTCTCCCACACTATCATCCAGTGATTTTTGCATTACCATTTACGTTAGTATAATGTATTCTAACTGCTGCCTTCCAAACCCTTCATTTGATTCCCTCCCCACTTCCCCTTCCCCTTAATTGTTTCCAGTTTAGATATTGTGTTAGTTGACAACTTGGCAATTAGACATTTTTTTTGAGTAAATTTCATAAATGGTCGCTAATTATATGCAGTTTTCCATATTTAGTCTCCAATTATAAAATATTTCATAAACATTCATCAATTTTTGAAAACTATTTCACAAATAGTCCTTTTCACCAAATATGACAAAATATTTTGAGTAAATTCTCAAAATGATCCTTTCAAGTAAGGTTTTTTCCCAAAGTAATCCTCAATAGGCTAAAATTACTAATGTGGTCCTTTATTGTTTCTTAAATAGTCTTTTATAAAAAATGCCTAGTAAATGACAGTTAAATAGAGGGTATTTTGATGTTCTTTAAAAAATCATTTTGAGGACTTATTCATAGTTTAGATAATAAAGAGTATCAAAATATCCTTTATTCAACTGTCATTTAATATACATTTTTTTTTATAAAAGACTATTTAAGAAATACATCTCAATTATTAAGGATCACGTTTGTAATTTTTGCTTATTGAGGATTACTTTGGGGAAAAACCTCATTAGAAAGAACCATTTTGAGAATTTACTCAAAATATGTTGTTATATTTGTTGAAAAGGACTATTTGTGGAATAATTTTAAAAAAATTGAGAACTGTTTATGGAATATCTTATGATTGTGGACTAAATATGGAAAACTACATGTAATTAGGGATCATTTATGGAATTTACTCTTTTTTTTTTGTGAAATGCGAGAAAAAAAGTGGATGTGATTTCGATTTTTTATTTTTGTTAAAATTATGAGAAGTTCATGTTATGAATGCTTATATTGAGATGAACCTAACAATGCGTGTGATTATTTTTAGAAATTTTTGCTCTAAATAGCACTCAAACATAGGCAACTTCCGTGTATAGCACCATCATGTTTTTTTCCCATAAATGGCAGTTTATTTTGTTTAGTCGGACCCTTTTGTCCTTCTCGCAATTCCCATTCCTTTTTTTTTAGTTTTTATTTCCATGTAAAAAACTTAATCATCCATGATTATCTCCTAAAAATTAGGAAGTAAAACCCACAACCCACAACCGATACGCACGTCTGTCATTTGCCCTAGCCGCACTTCCGTCATCTTCTGCATAACGGTTCTCTTCTTCTTCCATTTTTTCGTATCCCCTTCTCACCGCTTTCACCGCCGGAAGATAATGTTCTCTTCTTTATTGCAAGCAGTTTCTCAGCCGTTGACATCGCAGGAATTCCATGTTCGTGTTCTCGTGAAGTTTGATGGTGTGTGGTCTGATACGTTGGAATTCGACTGTAAGGAGTTGTATGAAATTGATGTCTACCGTGGGTGTACGTATGATGATCTTCTCCAGTTAATCCGTTGGACCGTACCTTCATATGCTGAAAATTCAGAATTTATATTGTCATACACGACCAATTCTACACAGCCACGTACCTTTGTTCATGATGACTCTACCCTTGATTCTTACATTCGATTGAAACTGATTCATTGTAATGTTCGTGATTATCCCTTGTGCGTTGAGTTATGGTCTAGGCCTGATTCCCCATGTGGTTCCGAGTCTGACAATAACGATTTTTCTGAGGGGGACTCATCTCTTTCTGGCCATTCAAACGCACACGGTGGTGATGTCCTAGAAATGCCTCAAAGTAATCACAACGATCAGCGTCTCGTACTCTCTGGGGCATCTCCTTTGTTTCACACATCAACTGAGGAATCACTGGTGGAGAACAATTTGCTGCTGTCCAACGAAAGTTCAATGGCACATACTACCTCCATGTCTGCTGAAGAAATGTCTATGTTAAGGGATTTGAAGGTTATATCCCGGTTTGATCCGACTACGATTGCGGTGAGTGCAATTTATGAGAGTAAGCAGGATCTTCTTTTCCATCTTAAGAGACTGGCGATGGCCAACTACTTTCAGTTCAGGACAAAAAGATCGAACAAGAGTTTCCTCCATGTTGTGTGCGTGGATTACAAAAGATGCAGCTGGGCAGTGCGGGCTGTGCGTTTGGATAAAAAAGTGGACATTTTTCAAGTTCGCAGGTTCGTCTTTTAAAATTATATTCCACACATATAATGTCTACATACCTCTGTCCAGTGGTCATTTTTTGCTACGTTTAATATGCATGTAATTCATATTGACTACATAACGCCCTTAAACATAATGTCCTTATGATTGAATACCGGTTGTCCTTATTTTTAATCTCAAATCCCCAGTGCTTATTTAACGGTACTGACTTGGCTTTGATTAGATGTAATGCATAATGTCCAACTTTTCCAAATGGGCGTAGCAAAAAATGACCACTGTATAATGACCACTGTAAAATGAACACTTTAAAATGACCACTGTAAAACGATGACTTCTCCATCTGGGCGTACTGACCACTGTAAAATGACCACTGTGCGTAGCAAAAAATGACCACTGGGAGTACTGACCTTACATTCATGAAATATAATTTTCCAACTTTCATATATGGTCATAATGTCCTTCCCCTTAACGTAATGACTACTTATTTTAACATACTTTCCAAATACTTAAAATTACATGTGCCTTTATTTAGGCCATAATGGCCAATTCCTTAAACTCATGTATTGACCTGGAGTTGAATACATGCACTGCTTAATGTCCATATAAAATGTTTGATTTAAATATCATTTACATACTGGCGTCAAGTTCATCCTATTCACCCACGCACTTTGTTATCCAGGTATGACCACGAGCATCAATGCCCTATAGATGCACGTCAAGGAAAAACAAGACAAGCTACCTACGATGTTGTCGCAGACCTGGTGAAACATCAATTTCATGATGCAACAAAGAAGCCTTACCCTCCCAAATCAATTATGGCAGACATGCAAAGGGAGCATGGAATTTATATGACATATAAAAAGGCGTGGTTTGCAAAAGAAAAGGCTCTTCAACTCTGTTTTGGGACTCCAGAGGAATCTTATGCATCATTGCCGTCATTGACCTTTATGCTTAGTAAGGCTAATCCGGGTTCATTTATTCAGCTCTCAATGACCCCGAGGAATCTTTTCAAAAATTTATTTATTTCACTTTCTCCATGGAGGGACGGGTGGCAACATTGTGTCCCGGTGCTGATAATTGATGGTTCGTTTATGAAATCCTACTACAAGGGAACCCTACTAAGTGCAGTCACCCGTGACGGTAATAACCAGATTTTCCCTTTAGCGTTTGGATTTTGTGATAAAGAAAACACAGTGAATTGGTGCTGGTTTCTATCCAAGGTCAAGGAAGCCCTTGAGTATCGTCCTGTTCAGTATGTTATATCCGATAGGCATGAAGGTATATTGAGCGCGATGAACATCGTATTCCCTGGTGTTAGTCATGGCCATTGCATTTTTCATATTTTTGGCAACATAAAACACAATTTTCGTGGCTCTCAAAAATCATTGTCTTGGAAGTTTTATGGTGCTGCACGTGCTGCATCCAAAGCGGAATGCTATCGGTATTTGCAATACCTAGAGCAAGAAGATCCCCGCATTATACCATATTTGGAAGAAATTGGCTTTGCCAAATGGGCTAGGTCATTTTCAAACAATCGATACTCCATAATGACTTCGAATCTTGCAGAGTCTATGAACAGCGTCGACGCTGTTCCACGTGAGTATCCTATTGCAAGGGTAGTAGATTTTTTGCTAGGAAGGATGCAAAGGTGGTTCCATGAACGTCGGGAGCTGGCAAATTTCACATCTTCCACTTTATCAAAGCACTATGAGTCCAAGCTTAATGCCCTTCACGCTTCCTCCGCTGTTATGGAGGTTCGCCCTATTTAAACCTTTTTTCCTACTTTCTACAAGTACAAGTATAAGATTATGCTGTAACATATACGCAGGTCCGGCCAGCCTCTAACTTAGAGTTTCTTGTCATTGAAATCGATGGGAGATCTTTTGTTGTCAACTTCAAAGACCGGACATGCACTTGTGGTGAGTTCCAACTAGACAATTTCGTTTGCGTTCATGCGGTCGCCGTGACACATCAAAGACCGGGCTTGTCATGCTATGATTATGTTTCCCCTTACTATACGACAAATGCATGGAGAGGTGCATACAGTGGTGTTGTTCACCCAATTCCATCTAAAGATTCCTGGGTTTTGCCAGAGGATGTCCATTCAGTTATTTGCAGCCCCCCCGCATGTTCCAAACGTCCACCTGGACGGCCTAAGAAGCGTCGAATCCCATCTAAGTGTGAATCCCGAAAAAACCAGTCATGTTCACGATGTAAATCGGCCGGGCATGACAGGAAGACATGTACAAACCCACTTCCTTTGAATTGTCATTGATTTTTTGGGTACTATCAATTTTATATTTATCTTCAGCAAACACTATTCTGTTTTTAGTATTTGACTATGTTAGTTACAAAACATTTTTTACATATCATTCTTTATAAACATTTTTATCGTTCCCAAATGCCGTTAAACTTTGACCTATATTATAATGACCTTATATAGCATCATTATAATACGACCTTGAAATCATTGCCTCTTCGCCATAAAATTAAATCACCATACACAATGACCTTAAACATGAACTTATTTTCTACCTGCATTCTTTTTCAAAAAATATATTTCTAACGACTAAGATGCCAACTCAAAGTTAGAATCATTTCTGTGCAAGACAAGAAGAAAAGGTCATTGAATTTAAGGACAAATTTATCGATTTTAGTCATTGAGTCATGCTGTTTAGTCATTGAATCATGGTGACATCCCTTTTATTTTTATTCTCGTCATTTTTAACAACCTGCATTTATAACGTCTTCATATACGGGCACGAAGAGCGTTTAAAACTTTTCTAACCATACTGACTTATTTCCAATCACAAAACTTAAAGGAATCTTAAGTACTCAGTCATTATGCCTGTCTATACACCCATACTTACTTCGTTTAACTAGGTAGTCTATTTGAAGTTACCAGATCTCTGGACATCATACTAAGCTCACGATGGTCATTTTACTTAAGGCAAGATGTGTAGACATTATGCTCCAATCAGTAGGTCAGTACATGTACAGATCACAGGTCATTTCAAATAAAAACATTACACAGATTATGCTCCAACCTTAGCCATAAAACAAATCTATTGAAACTCATTACAAAAACAACGTCTAAACAACTTTTAAATGAAATGCATCTACCACAAACATGTCATTCCCAAGAAATGTTTCATAAAATGTAGCATACTCCGTAATAAACAATACCAATTACTCTCGTACACTAAGCGATAAATAATTCAAAACAATTCTTTTCTTAACACCTGCCAATGATGCGTAATTCATTCGTTCCACCGTCATTTTCTTCCTGTAATCATTGATTTTAACAGCATTAATGCCCCCCCACATCCTTGCCCATCATCAGGTATTCTGCAAATTTTATTACGAAAATTCCACAGCTTGACCTGTAAAGCAAAAAAAGGATAAACACTCTCATTACACATATCAAATTCTTTAATGCCACGTTTTACCTATCCACTTGTTGAGGACAGTTTGGAACCCCCTCCACACGCAACGCTGTGTCGCCCAAGCAAACCCTCTAGACAAACTCTTACATACATCTGCAACACACACATTATGTTGTCAAAAAAAATCACACAGCGCACTATAAAATCCTTTCCCCTCCCAGTTCATACCATTATAAACCTGTAATGATCACAGCTAACTCAATGACTTTTCTTTATAAATCACACAAACATATTCAGGAAACACAAATTCCAATCACTAAAACAATAAATACCCACATATAACAGGGGGGACAACAATATCTTTCTATGTGAAAAGCTACTATAAGGTTTATTTCTTAAATTCATGAACATAACACATCCACGAGAATGATCAATAATGGTTTATGTAATCCATATAATCGTTGCTTCAACTGACCTCACACTAATCTCATTGGCATAAACTACAAATAAAATAAATCAGAATTCTTCTGCAAATAAACACATAAACCCAGGTCATTAACAAATGCACATGAGACAATGACTAAGTTAATAACTTTTCATTCTCAGGTATCATTCCACCCACCAGTGAATTCAATTCTTAACGACCTAATCATAAGACAGCCATAAAAATACACATGAATGTCCTGCGTTCTGTCCAAATCTTAACAGGACTAAAAATAAATCTGAATTCTTCTCCAAATACACACATAACCCCAGGTCATTAAAAAATGCACACCAGACAATGACTAAGTGCATAACTTTTCATTCCCACTTTACAAGAAACTAATCCCACCTTGTCAAAAATAACAACACAATTGCAATCTCTTGCACAATGTTCACGGAAGACATTACATCAAACACCTAGCCTATGCACCCATATCAACAATTCCCTTAACATAACCCAAATTCAATAAAAAAAACTTACTTGTAAATATAACAAACTGATACTTAAGTTAATGACCACATATTCAATTCCATTCACTTCAATGACCAACCAAATTACGGTCAATTACGCCCATTCCCACACACCAATAACCAAATGCCCAAATGACCAACCAAAAAAATTAAGATTCGAATGCCTTACAGTTCCATTCATCGACCTCACCAACAATCTTCTGTTAATTCCCGGTGACAAAGTCATATCTTCTTCATCGCATCCCCTGCGTTTCACCGAACTCCCTGCCATGGCCGCAAACTTCTTTTCAATTCTCTTCGTTCGCAAGGAGGAAACCAATTTTAGAAACCTAATGACCTTCGTGTCATTCTAAAACTCAAATTTCTCAATGGAAATCAAATCTCCATTCAATACGGAAGTGGTTAATTTCCTTTGCCGGTTGGATTCTCCGTAAACCTAGCGCCGTGAAACAGTTTCCTTCCTTTTATGTGTTTTAATGTTTTTTAATTAAACAAATGTATTTAATGGGCATTATTGTCTATTCCACCACAAAACGTGAAGGGGAATAGCACTGGTGCTATTTGGGGAAACACAACTTCTTTTAGTGCTATTTAGGTATTTTCCTCTTATTTTTATCTTCATATACAAATCATAGTAAAATATAATCGAATGGGAAGTGAATAAACAGTGTAAAATTAATCCATACACTTCACTATTTATGGACGAAGTTTAATCAATTTACTTCTTTTATTTTATAACTCATCTGATAAAATAAAATAGTGTTGTTACATCTTGCTTTGGAATTTTTTATGTAGTTCTTAGATATATAAATTTAATTTTTAAATTTCAATAGCTTCTAAATCATCAATGCATCAATTAAATTGGGACGGAGAGAATATTGAATTCGTTTAATTCAATATCTAGTTTTGCAGCTCATTAATTTTTTAAAATTATGCACCTCTCCACTGTAGTCTAAGGAATAACCTTTCAATATTGATCCAAATAAACATCTTGTTGAGATTGTGCGCACAATAGTGGCAACAAGTTTTTAGACCATAATTATGAGACCATGTAAGGAGAAAAATTATAGGCTTGTTATTAACTCATGGCAAAGACAAATAACTTCACAGAGTGTACGTTTGTGGCAACACAATTATCTTTCATTTTTCAGATTTACACAACCATAACTCTTATTTTGTACTTCAAAAATGGTGTTGTTTTACAATCTAGATTACTTGACCAATGCTCAATATGTGTTTGAAAAATTGCCTCTTAGAGGAGGATGGTCTAGGTCACATTTCATTTCACACTGCTTCATTTCTCTAACAGGCTTGGTTCAATAGTGGTCAGGTTCTGCTATTTCATACAGCAAATGCCACAAAAAAGCCTGGGTATGGTTCAATAGTGAGTTTTTTTCCTTTTTTATACGTAGTATTGCATAAAAGTTTCTCTGATTTTATTCAAAGATCTATCTTTTTTTGTAACTCATCTTTTCCCCTAGCTTGCAGGACCATGGTGGTGCCACCCATCTCCCCCATATGTTTGACATTATTAAGAATTTCTTCGTGGAGAATGAGAAGAGGTAGGATACAATTTACATGGGTAATGATTTTATTCTTTCACAGTTTTTTTTTCCGTGCTTTCTTGATTCAATTGGGCTTTTCACCCTAACTTATTACTTTTATTGGCTCCTCACTTCTTACTCTAAATTCAAATCTTCAGACTTAAGGGTCATGCATTATTTTAGAAAAAATTCTTAAAATGATCAATTCTAATGAAATACTTTTCCGAAATGAATTTTTTAAATAAACAATGTATATTTGAATCCATTTACAAAAATTATAGGCTTTTAATTATTCATGAATTATGTTTTTTCTTATGTATTGTTTTTATTTTATATTTAATTGTATAGAAATGATTTTGAGAATCTTTATTTTATCCTCCTATATACAATAGTAAGAGGAGCTTTGGTCCTGTAGTTCTCCCCGCAAAAAAGGATCGGGAATATAGGGGCAAATTGTTGATTCTGTTCCAAGATATAGATATTTATTTTCGATGCAAGTGTTCATCTTAGCCTTTTCTTTCAATTTCTTTTGTTGGTAGATTAACATTTTCATATTTTAGGTATAATTTTTCAGATCTTACAGAATGTGCTGTAAAGCAATGGAGGATGTTCAAGCTATTTTACCTCTCTCTATTTTTTTTCTTTTCTTGAAATGGTTAATTTGAGCACTCTTTTTGCAGTGGGTGGGGGGTCATTGTTGAATTATCTTGAACAATGTTTGTCACGTTGGAGTATAAAAATTTGAATGAATGTACAAGGACAAACCTCTAAGGAGTTGATAGAGCATATTATTGAAGTTGGATAGAATTTCCTATTATTGAAGTTGGAATAGTCTCTTTTAGAGTATTATTAGATTTTCTCCAGAATTGTTATCCATGCTAATATTGCTTGGGTAATACTTTGTAGTTTTAAAAGTACTTTCATTTATTTGAAATTAGCTTTACTTGAAGGATTTACCAAATCTTCTTTTCCAACCATAAAAGTAGTCTTTTATGTCCTATCAACATTTATTTACTAGATTCTACAAATCTTCTTTTGTTGGAGTATTTACTACTGCAACACATATTTAAGCGTGCCAACTAAGAAGGTAGATTTTCAAATCTTTTGAAATGCGTGTCATTATAACTTTTTGGTGCATTACTCAAGAAAAATTTGGTGCGTTGCTCAAGAAAACAATTGGTGCATTGCTCAAGAGAAATTTTGAGCCTTGCTTAGGGAAATGTATAGCTACCTATTCAATAAAGTAAAAGATATTACGTTGCTCAAGGATGGCTTTATGTCAAATCCAATTAAATAAATAAATTTACCAAATCCATACATTTAGTGAATAAATTGTGTATTATTGTTTATTTCCTTCATATAAATATTTTATTATATATTACTATGTTAATTTAATTTTATCATTTTCTCTCATCAATACTTTTCCTGATTATTTAGTTTATAATTAGACCGTGCAACGCACGGGTACGAGTCTAGTTCTTTACACAAAAAAAAGAGGGGGTGGCGCTTAAAGATCTTTGAGCTGGCGCTTTAGGCAATTAGGCACGCTTGGAGCGCTCTAAGACCATTTGGCATATCTTAGTGCTCGTGCTATGATTTTGTAATTCAGGCACTAGTGATTTGAGTGCGCCTACGAATGAAAATAAATGATAAATTTATTTTAGAATGAAAAGAAATAGGAGTAATAAATTTATTTTTAGTCAAATGAAAATTGGAGTAAATATTACTTGGTGGGAAAAGAGTGAATTTGTTCATATTTTACTAAATATATTTTCAAACTTAAAATATTTGTCCATTTTGATTTTTTTTCCAACCAAAGTTATAAACATTAATTAATAGAATAATTATTTTGGAAAACAAATCTTAAAAAGTCATTTTTATGCTCCACATTGAATAAATAATATGGACTATAATTTTTATTGAATTATTGCTCAACTTTATAAGTCTAGTGCACTTCTCTATAAAACTTTTTGTAAAAGTACGTATTTTTAAAAAGAGTATATAGTAAGAAATTTGAATTTGGTTTTCTTTTTCATTTCACATTTTCTATGAGAATTGTTTCTTTTTTCGTGTTTAGAATTTCATATGATTTGTTTTTTCTATTTGTAAACTCTTTTAGAATTATCTAACATTGCTATCTTAATGTCTAAGACTCTAGTAGTTTCAAATAGGGTGTACAAAGTCGGGGTTGGACTGGAAAACCGGACTAGACCGGAAAAATCAGCTCCAGGCTAGAGCGCGCGGTAAAATTCAGGACCGGTTTTCGGTCTAAAGACTAAAGACTAGTAAAAATTTTTGTCCATTCATGTCTAAGACAGATAGTTTTCGAGTCAGACCATGAAGACCAGAATGTAATTATTTTGTTATTTTATTTTTAATACCTATAATACGGATTATGTGATTATAAGTACTCCCTTCGTTCTAAATTAAATTGAACACTTACTATTCATAGAGTCAAACTTTATCAAAGTTGTTCCTTTATACTCGTTAGTCATTTGATAAAATAATATAGTCATGTCATCACTAGTTTTGTAGATCTTTTGATATATTTTTTAAATATATAATTTTAATTTTTAATTCTACGCCGTTTTTCATATGAAATGATTTGAAATTAACTTCGGTGAAACATCGTTAACCAAAAAGGCGATTTAAATTGGGGCGGAAAGAGCACAACTTTGTATTTTTAATTTTTTTCTTCTTAATTTAATATGGAGTATAATATTTCAAATGCAATATGTATATTTTAATTCACTTTCATTACTTTTTTATAATTACAATCATTGACTTTTACCCAAAAATCTCCACAATTATAAAAAAACAAAAATTATTCCAAAAAAAAATTGAAGTATAATGTTAAAATTTAGAGTATTAGATAATATGAAAATTGACTTATTTTTGTAAAAAAATGAAATAATTTAACGTACAAGTTTGTAATAATTTTGAAATCCCAAAAACCAACGCAAGTATAAAACTTATTTTAAACTTATCATATTGTTGATTAAAATATTTTAAATTATCATAGTTTCTTGAAACACACCCAATGAATATAAAAATTAAGAGTAAGGTTGGAATCAATTCAAATAAAACTACGTTGTTAAAAAACAAGTTTAAAGATTTGGACAAAAAACTTTAAAAATAAAATCTTGTTTTCCGATTTTTACCCAGACCAGGCCGATAAAATCGGACCGGTCCACACCGAAACCTAACATGTTTGGTTTCCGATCACATACTTTAGGTGATTCTGATTTTCTGGTTTTTTGAATTTCGATCCGGTTCTAGACCAGTGTACACTCCTATTTCACACTGTCACCTAATGTCATACTCGGTGTGTTTTATGTTTAAATTATGCATGATCAATTTTTAAGTTGACAATTAGAAATTAAAGAGTGTGAGTTCAGAATTTAAGAGAATGACAATATGCATGATATACTACGTACAATATTAAACTCCGTATATAGATACTATATGTTTTTTTTTAAAATTGAGCTTTAACTCCTTTAAGTTGCACCTCCACCATATAATATTATTTTGTTCTTCAACAAAGCTATCTTGTGCCTGGATTGTACACACAAAATCACCACATTTGATGAAATTAGCAACATTAGGCTTCTTTGAGAATACAGTTACTGATTAGCATTAGCGTTTTGAATAAAATTTTAACGGTGCAGATTGATTTTAAAAAACGCTAACGATAATCCTTGTGCGTCGATTGTCTTTTAAAAAGAATGACGCTAATCTCTGACTCGATTCTGTAACATAGGACTTAATTTTTTCCTGAAGACCAAAGCTATCAGTACAGTTTAAGAGCCATGCTATAAATTTATCCGGCACGGCAGCGGCGGCCGTGTTTTCATAATCTACCGGCCGTCTGCAGCGCTTCTTCCAGAATGGTCGCCATAGATCTCATCTCCAGAGGATTACTATCTCCTGCGTTTTGTATTGCTTCCAATTCCTCTAGGCCTTTCGCCACGGTCATCAGATCATTCAGATCGAAGCTTTTTCTCCTCGTCTTTTTCCCGTCCTTATTTCCAGGCGGCGGATTTGGATCATCTGCGCCTGTTTCCGCCCGCTGCGTCGCTCCCTCCCCTGCTCTCAGCCGTGCCGTGAAGCTATTCTTCAGCGGCGAATCGTCGTCGCTCTCGAAGTTATGAGCGTAGCTGAGAGGGTCGTAGGTGAGATCTGACGTGTGGCGGCGGCGATGCCGCCCGATTCCGGCGGCGATGTTCCCGCATCTCCCTCGGATCTCCGGCGATTGATTGTTGCTGTTGTGGTGGTGGTGTTTCGAACCTATCCATCTCGACGGGTTCACTCTCGGGCTTCGATCCGGGGATAGCGGCGACGACGGCTCGATGAGGTCGTGCCGCCGGTGAAGGTGGCCGTGAAACAGGGCGGAAATGCTCAACGACGACGACGATTTTCTGTGCCCGCCCTTAGCCGCCCTCGGGGTATCATTTTGCGGCTCATTATTTTCATCCATTTTTAACTAGAAAATCATATATAGGATTAATTTACCGTGGGGTAATTATGGATTTATGGTCAGATAAACGAGGAAGAAGAAGAAGAAGATTACGATTTTTATTTTTTTTATTTACTCCATTTTACCACGCATAAAGAATAATTTTAAATTAATGAATGGCGGTTATATTTTTGAGTGAATTAGAGGCCGGAAGAATTGGCGGATTAGTTACATGTTGCATCCTTCGGTTTTGCAGCAACGGTAAAGATCAGATGATATTCAAAAAACTAGGGGTGTGTATGAAATCCGTTCTCGTTGGACCGTTCCGAAAAATACCGAATCCGTTTTGTAATTGTACCGAATAATTGGGACACCATTTCTTTTATCCCGAATCCGTTCCGTTCCATTATCAAATGGGACATGAGCGGGACAACTTAAATTTATACCGATACGTCCCGTTTGTTCCGTTTTATCTACTCTATTAATATATAATTCTAATTCTATACACTCATTCTTTTCTTTAATTAATTAATTTAACTTCAAGTTTCAACTCAAAATTTATTAAATTTATTTGGTCTTAACTTCAAAGTCCAGACTCCGGAGCCCAATTCCGTCCCATTATTAAGCTAATTCACTTTTAAAGTTTTAATACACAATTCTGTAAAAATCCAGTGGACAGTGGCTAATTGCCTGGTGTACACAACAAGTTTTTGGATGTCTTTGGGAGTTAATGACTTTTATTTATGACATTTTGTGACTTTTGGATTGAGTACCCACCTTCTTATGTTCGGGATTAGGACAAAGTGGGACGACCCGAATCCGTCCCGGTTTGTTTCGATCCCGAATTTTATGGGACAAACCGGGATAAGATTGTAATCCGAACCGTTTATATATAACGGGACAAGACGTGGAACAACTTAAATCTGGACCGTCCCGATCCGTGCCCACCCCTACAAAAAACTAATCAGTTTTCCTTCGGTTAGTTCTACTCCCTCCGTCCTAAA